TGTTCGGCTGAAATGTCTTGTAAAAGAGCTTTAAAAAGACGATGTTGCAAACTAGAAGTTGAGCATGTGTAGTTCACTAATCTCATCACAGTACCTGTTTTTTTTTTTTCAAGTCCCCAGACAACTTACACACAGAACAATCTAGTGAATGATGCAGTGAAGTGTATCACTGCCAAATGTGAAACAAAGCCCTTCTCTTTCCCTGTCATGGAGGGATCTCTGCGTGTAACAAGCGAGTTTACTTTCTACAGATTTAAACCATTTTTTTTTCAAAAAATGGTTCTCTTTTCAAAAATGATCTCTCCTGTGGTGTAGGTTTCCAATGGTATTAAGCACAAAAATTCTTCCTTGAAAATTTCACTTTCATAAAATCTAACAAACAGTGATAACTGGGCAGTGTCACTTAAATTGCTTGATTTGTCCACTGCAAGAGAGATGTATTTGGTGTTTTTTAAATTGGAAAGCAGTGGTAACAAACAGTCCTCATAAATTTACCTCCAATTTTCCCACTGCCGTGGAATCAGACAGTGGAACTTGCTTCACACAGTTCAAAATGTCATCTTTATTTTTATCTCCAGCAAAAAGCTCCTCCAGCATTTCCATCGTGCACTCCTTCACAAGTTCAGCATGCAGGGAAGGCTTTTTCTTTTTAGTTAGTACCAACATTATCCAAAGAGAAGTAGCTGTTTCTTTTTCCTGTACCGTCGCTGATGTTGTGAGAATGACATTTGAAGTGAGATAAAAAGACTTCAGATTTTCAATTCTGTCACATCTTGCAACACTGCCAGGAAGATAGGCTGAATTAAATTTACTGTGTGTCATAAATATAAAGGGAAGGGTAAACACTTTTAAATCCCTCCTGGCCAGAGGAAAAACCCTTTCACCTGTAAAGGGTTAAGAAGCTAAGACAACCTCACTGGCACCTGACCAAAATGCCCAGTGAGGAGACAAGATACTTTCAAAGCTGGAGTGGGGGGGAAACAAAGGGTTCTCTCTGGCTGTGTTGTCTTTTGCCGGGACCAGAGCAGGAATGCAGGTCAGAACTCCTTTAAAGGGTTAATAAGCAATCTAGTTAGATATGCGTTAGATTCTGTTTTGTTTAAATGGCTGATAAAGTAAGTTGTGCTGAATGGAATGTATATTCCTGTTTTTGTGTCTTTTTGTAACTTAAGGTTTTGCTTAGAGGGATTCTCTCTCTATGTTTTGAATCTGATTACCCTGTAAGGTATTTACCATCCTGATTTTATAGAGGTGATTCTTTTACTTTTTCTTTAATTCAAATTCTTCTTTTAAGAACCTGATTGCTTTTTCCTTGTTCTTAAGATCCAAGGGTTTTGGTTTGTGTTCACCTATGCAAATTGATGAGGATTTTTATCAAGCCTTCCCCAGGAAAGGGGGTGTAGGGCTTGGGGGGATTTTGGTGGAAAGACGTTTCCAAGTGGGCTCTTTCCCGGTTATATTTTGTTAGATGCTTGGTGGTGGCAGCAATAAAGTCCAGGGACAAAAGGTAAAATAGTTTGTAGCTTGGGGAAGTTTTAACCTAAGCTGGTAAAAATAAGCTTAGGGGGGTTTTCATGCAGGTCCCCACATCTGTACTCCAGAGTTCAGAGTGGGGAAGGAACCTTGACACTGTGCCTTGATTCAAAGTGGTGCTTTATGTTGACGGCCTTACAGAGGGATACAGTAGTGTGGCACGGTAAACACAAAAGGTTTGTGTTTAAATGAGGTGGCATAATAAAAAGAAAATCCGCTGTCCAGGATGGGTTAAAAGCTCGGCTCTCGCTGTTGACTTGGTGACATTTACTCCCATTTGAATGCATTTTTGGCTCCATTTCCATCACTAATGAAAAAATGGGCACCGTCCAAGCTCAGCTGCAGCCGATGCGATTGCAAGAACTTCAGATCCAGTAAGCAGTGCTTAATTTGTGCTGGGGCTTAACCCCAGCACCTTTAGCCTTGGAAATTCATATCCCCGGCTTCTCTGCGCTCCTGGCCAGCAGCTGCTGTTGTCCAGCCACCCAGCTCTGAAGACAGTGCCGCTGCCAGCAGCAGCAGCATAGAAGTAAAGGTGGCAGTACCATACCACGTCACCCTTACTTCTGCCCTGCTGCTGCTGACAGCACTGCCTTCAGGGCTGGGCGCCTGGCCAGCAGCCACTGCTCTCCAGCCTCCCTGTCAATGCTTAATTTGTGCTGGGGTTGCCCCCACACCTCTTTCATTACAAATTAAGCACTGCCAGTAAGTTATTTACTAAATCATAGGCAAATGATAGGTAGTGCATCACTGTTTGTGAACTTAATTATAAACATTTTTTAAGGTGAGCTGGCGGGACACACAGGAAGCCTTGGTGGGCCACATTTGGCGCACAGGCCACCTATGGGGTCTCACTTCTTTAAACTCTTTATGTACTCACCATATTCTGGTATTCTGGGCCCTGCCTGACCACCAGCAAAAGCTGAAGCAGCCTCATGGCTGCTCTAATTTATGCTCATTTCTGATGGCCACTATAGGTTTCTCATGGAAATAATTTTCTAAGGTATGTGCCAGTTTGATATTCATTGAAAGCCAGGGTATAGCCAGGCATAATGCAAGCTGTACAGCATAGTTCTGCCAGTGTACTGTAGAAAAATTTTCCCAAAGAATCAATCCTGGCTTGATTTCTTTCTGAACAGAGACCAATGAATCATGCTGGGTAAGGGCCTACTCCTGCTGCCACTGAAGTCAGTGAGCTTTAACATTGACTTCACTTGGAGCAGAAGTAGGCTTTATATCAAATATGGAACAAGTTAATTAAATTCTAAAACTTAGTCTTTGACAGTAATTCAGATAAAGCAAATTAAGACTCCAATAACTTTTTACAATACATGTAATTTCAGAGACTTAGCTCACTAAAACACTCAGGGCAGTATATGACTAATAACCAGATTAAAATAAAATCTCATTAGTCCAATACATATTGTGCATCTCATCTAAAAGAGTCTCAATTTTGTCATTTAGAAATATACGGAAATCATGTAAAATGCAAATACTGAAGGGGAGAAGGGTTTGGATTTAAAAAAAATATATGTTTAAGGTCAATGCACATATTTGCATGTGATGGAATTTGAAAGATCTTTTCTTAATGAAAGGCCACCATGGAAGTACAGGAATAGCTTCACTAATATGCACTGTGCTAGACACTCACTCTCTCTTAACACCCCCGCCCACCTCTGAGAAAGTTTTACAAGGAGATGCTTTAAAGGGGCCTCATAGTACAATTTAAAAATTTATGCATTCTTTCATATACTCGTGTTCTCATATCATCATTAAACCTAAACTGCAATTGACAAATTAAATGGACAGAAACACATTTAATGGTTGTATCACCCTTGTTTTTTGCTGTAGTGCAAAATGCAGTCGACCATAGTGGGTCTCCCAGTCAGTGTGAATTAACAGATTTCCACTTTTCTTGCTTAAAAGGACAAACAAACTAAAAAATATAATCAAATCAGACTTCTGCACAAGACAGAAATTCACCTATCCCCGCTCTTATAAAGCATCCCATCATTTTCCTTTTCTGGATGGCTCTAAAGTTTTTCTTTGTTTCAAAGCATTCACTTTAGCTAGAATAGATTATGGAGAGATCATAGTTAAGAGTTTCATTATAAAGCTGACTTTAACATCTATACACCTGGGTAACTAATTTTGGAAATTTAATTGACATGGAGGCTATGTCTGCCACTAATTCTGAAGTACACCAATGACAGTCAAAGTTTAAAGATCATGTCTTGAAATGTTAGCTAAAATTGGGATTTTATAACAAGTCATTCAGTGGGAGCTGGGTGCCTAACTCCCTTAAACCCCTTTCAAAATCTGACATTGAAGATCTAATACTTACATCTTATCTTACGAATGCGATCCAGTTTCAAGTCAGTATTTGCAGGGAAGTACCTGTTCCCCAGGCATAGGGTACCCAAGCAATGAGACAAAAGAAGAAAAAAAGTTTCCTGCATGCATGGGGGTCTGGCACGGAATCTGGCTGAGGAGAAAAGAAAAAACAAACATGTTGACAGTATTTTCACTGTCAAACAAAGATGCAGAAAACTTCATATGCAAGCCCTTTTGACATGGAAAAACTTCCATGCTGGTGATCTTGAGTCACTCTGTAAGTAAATTGACTCCTGTGATTGTGGACTTCAAACAAAAGAACACATGCACTGAATAATCCCCGTTTTCTTCTCCTGAGAGAGAAACAGAGTCCAGGGGCATTGGCCCACAACCCATCCCTGTCCATGGAATGTTTCTCAAATCCTCAAGAATCACTATAGAAATAAGAATCTCGAAGGACACAGGCCATGTGGTACTTTAAGATGAGTGTTGTTCTGTACTGAGCTTTCAGGTACCATGTGGATTATAGTAGATGAGAGGAAATATAGACTATCTGGGATTTTATTTGAGGCGGAGGCCAGAGTCTGCTGGGTTAAGATGGAATGAGAGCTGGTTATACTTCAGTTCATTACTTCTTCTGTTGGGGGTAGCATTATGCACTAAAAATAATTTAGCACTACTGTTTGATGTGCATACTTTGGTTAGATGCCTTTAATAGTGTTAACAAAACATAGTACATGCACTTTTTTAAAAAGATGGTCATCTTTTAAAATGAAGAAAAATTAAATGTGTTCTTGCTGGCTAAGATCTGTACTTTCAAACTAACCTTGTCTTCATGTATGAGTTAAAGCCTTTAAGAGTATAAAGCAGAGACCTTTGGAAAGTTAATACAAAAAAGGCAGATATTTGTACTTTGTACATATTAAGTAACAGTGCATGATATTTGGACAGAGTAGTAGCATGCACTGTTTGGCCAAGGATAAAGTATTATTTTGATAAATAAAGTTCATTTTAAAAGTTCTCAAGAATGTGTTTCCTTGATTTTTTAGCAATTTACGATAATAATTTTGAAAATCTGTGCTGGTAGCTGTTAATATTCTAACTGGAGGCTATTTTTTCCTCTTGTTCTTTAGTTTCAGGAGATCAGCAATCGGTTATTGAGTTCTTATGACACAAACATAGATGAGTTTTTTTCTGAAATTGATTCTTCTATAGCTGCAAGTCGAAATGTGCTTCAACAGTTGGAGGAAAAATTTGCCCCGTTAATAAGCGCAACTGAATGGGAGAAAATACAGATGCAGGTTGGTTTCGGAGCCAATTGGATGATGATCTCAATTCATTTTGCAACTATAGTCAGTGTCAAAGCAGGAAAGTTTTTTCCAGCATATCCTCCATCCAAAAAATTCCCTGGTATCATTTGTCAATCCACACGCTAAAACAATATCTGCAAACTTTTTTTTAAACAGTACAGTACCTTGAAGTTAAACATTTTGCTACAATAACTATTGTTTGGTTTATGATTACAAATAATTCCTCCTGTGTTCGATAAGAAGGAAAGTAATATTAAAGATATTTCAGAATTATCCTGATGTGAAGAGATACAGAACAGGTTTCAATAGATTAAATATTGAAGAACATACCACCAATTGTTACAAAATGCACTTTGAACCTTCTTGTTGTATAGGGTATTGCTGCTATGCATGCCTTCCAATGTTTAGTTATCAGTCTACAATAACTAATATATTTTCTTATTTTCCCCTCAGGCATTTCGGCAAGAGATATTTGACTGCCCTATTTGCATTATGCCACTGTGTCATATCACTCATCCTCCAAGTGTCTTCTCTGAGAACAGCAATAATCGGTATTCGCGCCAGACTGTTCTGCTCTCTTGTTCACATATGTTTCATCAGACTTGTCTTCAAGCATTTGAAGAGTTTTCCTTGGGAGAAAAACTTGTTTGTCCCTTATGTCGCTCTTGTTATCAAAAGAAAATTCTTGAATGTTGATATAAACATGTAAACAGTCCAGAATGAGCTACATAATAGAATTTTTAATTGGTTTAATGATTGATAGCCTCACAGGAGATTAGATCCTTGTCAGATCCAGTGTGAGAAAAAACACTTCTCTATGGATGCTGATGCTCACTAATAGAAATAAAAGTTAAATGGGCATTGTGCTATCATTTCTCTGACTTGTTGCTTTTCCTTGCTCTCCACAGTCTTACCTGTCTTCTACTCCCTTTGGTTTCCCTTATGTTCTGTTTTCCCTTCCTGGTCTTCTCCTTTCTTTAACCTCCTCCCTCTCAGAGGCACACTACCCTCTCCATCTCCTGCACATCCCAGGATCCCTTTTTCTTTTCCCTTTCCTTGAGAACTCTTCCCTTTGACTCCTTTCTTCATTCAGTGGATTCCATCTACATACTCCCCACAGGAGTTACTCATGTTGAACAACAAGAAAAGACAGATTCCCTTGATAGCAGCGCCCAGGCAGTTGGAAATACCACCGATGAGTGTGGAAGGAGATGCATTACTTCTTCAGCTCCTTTTAGTAGCTGAATGCAGCTGGGCTGGCTCCTCTCCTTTAATGGCTGGAAACCACGTTACAAGGTCAACTATAGGCAAATGGGAAGTACTGCAAAATAGCCCTACTGCAAATGTGGCTGAGTGGTCCCCATAAAGGAACAAATTGGTTCAGGAACTTGTCATGACAGTGGGACCAAGTAATATCGTCCAGGTTAAAAGAGACCAAAATGCATTTAAAACCTTTCAGTTGTGGACTGTTACCCTTGAACTTTGAGTTAAGGCCTAAAATCCCTTGATCAATGTCATGCACCCAGGAGAGCCTGAAAGCTAAACTTTTGTTAAAATGTTTCAGATGCTTTAGGAAACTATATGACTCACAATGCTGAAAATGCTTGCGGACTGCCCATATTTAAATTAGAATGGTTTTGTGTCAAAGATTACCGAAAAGTACTATTGATAACCTGTGTATTTTTCCATTAACTAAAAACTAAAATTAGGATACAGGCATGTAAAAGGTACGAGTTTGCTTTTTGATGGTTTTGCTACATGTTTGTCTTTTGCTTTATTTCTGCTCCATGTTTTGGTCCAAAGGGTGTAACGCCTACAGAACCTATGGGGATCTCTGCTACCCCCCTATGATACTCCGAACTTGAACAAATGGCTTGTTCGAGGCTCTCAAGCTTTTTACACACATTAAGCCACCCTCCACAGTGAGGTGGAATGCATATTGTGACAAAGTTCCTCCTCAGCTTTGGTGGGTCCTGCACTTTTTGGCAGATTTGCTCACCTCAGAGGTTCACGGCAGCCCTCATTTTGGCCGTTTCTGCTAGAGGCTCAAATCTGCCGTTCACTCAGCTAACCTCATCGCTGGCCAGCATGGAGGAAATGGAGAACAATCTCCACAGTCTCTGCTGTCCCACCTAGTGTGTCAGGGACAGGCCATATCCTTTTCCAATTTAGACCTTCCCTTCTGGTGTTGTCACAGACCAGGTCAACTCCTCCTGTGTCCAATCAGGAATTGGGGGAATGGGGGTTAACCCGGGCCCGCCCTCTACTCCGGGTTCCAGCCCAGGGCCCTGTGGATAGCAGCTGACTATGTCTTCTGTATCAGCTGTGTGACAGCTACAACTCTCTGAGCTACTTCCCCAGGGCCTCCCCCCAGCACCTTCTTTATCCTCACTGCAGGATCTTCCTCCTGAAGCCTGATCACGCTTGTACTCCTCAGTTCTCCAGCAGCACGCCTTCTCACCCCCTGCTCCTTGCATGCCCCCCCCCACTAACAGATGGGAGGTCCTTTTAAAACCAGGTGTCCTGATTAGTCTGCCTGCCATAACTGATTCTAGTATGTTCTTAATTGGCTCTGGGTGTCTTAATTAGCTTGCCTGTCTTAATTGGTTCTAGCAGGTTCCTGATTGCTCTAGTGCAGCCCCTGCTCTGGTCACTCAGGGAATAGAAAACTGTTCATCCAGTGGCATTTACCTTCTACCAAACTCCTGTACCCCACTGGTCTGGGTCTGTCACAATATGTTACAGAGGAGTAAATTGTAAGGCATGCACAGACAATGGAGAAACATCTTACAAAGACTCAAAAGTCCATTGTTTATTTTTAATACAAATGTTGACCAAAAAAAGCACATTGTAAATCACAGTTTGACTTCATTGAAAACAGAGTAACAAAAATATTACTAAAAACACACAAATTGTGACATTTCAAATAAAGGGAAAAGATACTAAATCTACTCCTTTTCACTATTGCACTGTGACATTCAAACCATCTAAAAAGGCAGTTGTTTTCATATAGTTTTGTAACACTGCAAGGTAACCACAACTGAAAATTTTATGAAGTACACATTTTCTGATGACCTAAATTAAATTAACCTCAAGGATTTGGTGGGGAAGATGCATCTGCTACAGATTGGTAACAGATACTTTAGTGCTAAAAACATTTTTCAGACATATTTTGCTTCCAAGATATGAGAATGCCCACATACAAAAGTTTTTAGTTAACTAAGGCCTTGATACTGCAAAGAATTAAGCACTTGCCTAACTTCAGCATGTGAGTAGTTCCACTGAACTCAACAGGACTGCACATATGCTTAAAAGTTACGAATGCATAAATTTCTGCAAAGACAGACCTACACTGTTAATATTGGAATGAAAGAGCCTGAACCTGCATGAGGAAAAACGCCCACTAATTAGCTGAACCTGTATTAGACTTTTTTTGATCTGCCATTGCACCACCATTAGTGCATAGGTACGGTCTAATGCAGAAAAGGTGGTATTTTTATGATGTCATCTAACCCTCCTCAACGCATGCCTAGACAATAAAGTTATAAGAACGCTGGTGGCAGTCTGAGCCTTGGGTGTACTCCCACTCAGGGCAGTGCAACCCCTGGGATTTTGCTTTTTTAAAAAAGCTTAGCATAGACAAGCCCACTGAGTTCAATGGGTGTTTTGCCTGAGTCGGGGAATCATTCTTACATATAGATAGAGGAATCTGAATACTCTGTATTTTTAGTTTGTGTATGTGTATTGCTGTATTGGTCACAGGCTACAATTTTAAATCCGCAATCCTAACATATCTTCATTTTCTAAATTTCTATACCAATTGAAACCAGATAAGACAAAATATTTTAAGGTTACCTTTAAAAACTGGGCAATGGTTGAATTTTTTGTTCACAACTTTTTCATTGTACTTGAAACCAGAAGATTTTGTGTAACTTTTCTGAACTGGGAAAAGGCATTAGTGTTAGAAAACATGTTTCAGTTAGCAGGATGTTAAACAGAATTTTGCCCATAAGCTTTTTAGCATGACCATCTTATCCACACTAAAAGCAAGGTCTTCATCTTTAACATCATGCTGTCTGAAATGTGTTAGTTTGTATGTTTTCTAAATTTTCTCCAATATGGACGAAGGCCAAACTACACACACGCAGCATCACTCGCTTTTTGGCTCCTAATGAGCAATTAAGGAAACACAACACAAAAGTACAGAATAAAACCCTTCATTTCTTGGTGCCATAGTATGTTTGGCTTGGTAATCACAACTGTAAAGAGCTGCTATATATTGATGTACCAACAGATTCATTTTTTATCTCCAGTGAGGTGAGGCATATTCATAAAAAAGGGGGCATATTAAGTGCCCAGTCTTTATTTTAATGGAATTCTGTGGTGACAACTGAATGACCAGACAGTACTGGTATTTCCAGAGTATCAATACTTGTACTAAGAAACCTTATATGGGACTACTGGGGGAGCAGACGGGCATTAAATAAAATCAAAGCTGATGTCCTGAGCTTTCATTCCTTGAAGCAAATGGAAGTGATGAGTGAATGGGGTAGGCAGGCTAAAGTCCTGATCATGAAGGAAACCTTATAATGACCTTTAAAAAGTTACTTTGTGTACAAATTACATTTAATGGAATAAATAGAAGAGCAGCATGTTGAAATGACTGGTACAAATATCTAGAAAGACAGCATAATTATGTATTATTTAAAAACGTTTGATACAGATACCCCCAGATTTTACAAACTTCTCTGTAGACATCTGAACAGTTTTCAAAAATTGGGGTTTCATAACAAAGTTTTAATTTTGATCAGATACAACTTTTAGATAGCTCTGATCCAAGTATGTTGGGCTGAGATCATCAGCATTTACTTCTATTACATTTGTTAAAGGATTTCTCTTTTATTACTCTTCAGCCATTTTGCCCAACTGGAATCAACCTGTAGTGTAGTTGAAACAATCAAAGATATTTTTGGTTTCAAATTTAAAGCTAACAAATATAAATCTGAATTATTAATAAAAGTGGCTAATAAAGTGGCTATTAGGAAAAGTCCATGAATGAACAATGAATTAGGCAAGCAATGGTTGTACAGAATTTAAGATCCTATTTCACCTTTCCTATTTTTAATTAAAAAACAACTTTGCTACTAAAACTTGCAGCTATCCTTACACTTCATAGTTTACTTGTAATTGAAACCAAAGCTACTGTTCTCCTGTAAAATGCCTTGCAACCATAAGTAGATGGTTATTTTGTAACATTTTCTGCAATTCTATTTAACTGAAACATCTGTACATTATAAAGTTAAGGGCAACTTGTTGACACATACTATTTAATCAAAAATAAAGCTGAAAACTTATCTGTGGAAGAAAGTACAGTAAGAGAGTCTTAAGTTAGTGGGATAGGAAAGTATTTTAGAAAACAATGGATTTCACGTTTAGACTTCCTGCTAATTAGCATAGGTGTAGTATGACTCTATATTTGGAGAAGCAGCTCCAGTCAGGCCAATGGGGCCTCGTGTGGGGGGAAAATTCTGCATGTGCCCGGGACTTGCAGTTTGGGGGGCTAATTAGTACCATTATACATCATACATCCGAGTTCTATTTAGATTAACTCGTTCTCTTATTTCCCATCTTGTCTATCCAGGCAAAGGTGAAAATCTTATGTTTGAAGTACATATTGATGACAGTTTGAAGCCACTGAATGATAGTACCTACTGAAGTACATGAAAAGGAAAAGGGAGTCAAAATGTTAACTTTTAAGAATGCAGGGCCCAATCCAGAAGAAAGCATCATCTGATTCATAAGTTCCATGTACCTAATGGAAACGTGGGCTTCTGTTTCATGAAAACTCCGTTTTTAGAGGTCAACCAGTTAGAGGAAAAAAACCATTCACATTGTCATCACTGGTAATGCAGAAGGTACCAAAACCCTGTAAAAGTGTTTACAACTATTTTGTAACTTGGTGTCCTGAAGGTCAGGCTCAATACCAGTCCACCTCCCCACAGGATACTCTTTCCTACAAGTATACCAGGGTCCTCAACATTTTAATCCTAATGTGGAACATGTAAGAGTTTGTCTCATGGACAACGTGCCCGCTTGTTTACTACTACACAGACCACATCCCTCCCATTCATAATCATATGACATCCCGGAGGAAAATACTGACTAGCGAGCACCATAGGACAAACCAGCTCCACATGGTGCACAGTTCAAAACCTCTAGATATCCTTTAGTAACTGCAGGGTCCTCAGCCTCAGTCAAGCCAAAGTCAAAGTCAGGAGTTGTGTGGCAGGGGAGAAGGACAAACCAAAGACTATGACAAAAAGGGAGTTCCACAACTTCCTATATGCTGGAGTTGGAGATTTGTTTAAAAACAAAAAATGTGGGGAGGAGGCGGGGGGGCCGGATGTGGTGAGGGTTTCTCATAATTTGCTGCAAGCCAATGTATTCCAGGGCTATGGAGCCAGCATCAGAACACCGTGGATGTCAGCTCTTTCCTCTGTGCATCCTTGCTGACTGTGATGCACTCAAAGCAAAGCTTGAAATAACTCAGTTAATATTCATCTACAAGAGAACATCAGCTCCTTTAAAAAAGCACTTTTCTGCCAGTGGCACATTTAATCAGTACTTATTTGATACCAGAGGTAGTCTGATTTATATGATACTCTAAGGCTAATGCCACATTTATTTTAGTATCTGTAAATGCTGGCTTTTTGGACAAGAATATCCCTCAGAACATTATCAATGACTCTAAGACCTTATTTTGACATTTGAAAATGCCAGGGATCACAGTGTTAAAAGTATCTAATTTGTTTTTCTGAACAAGATGAAGTATATTTCTTTTTTTTTAATTAACTGTATTGTCCTAATTATGCATGTAAAATCACTTGGTGTGAATTATACTACTGTATGTTTTAAAAACAGCATGCTCTAGTTTCATCTGAGCATGTGTAAGATACAAGAGAAGATTCAGTGATACTCTTTGGGCTTAATACTTTGCAATAAGATGGGCTATTTAGAACACAATAGAAGCAAGACTGAATTGCCTAGAACAGATACATGCATTGCTTTCTGCAAAACTCTTGACAATTTGGGCTAAAGGGTATCATGTTATACTTATGAAATTCAAGGAAAAATAGTACAGATTGAGAGCAAGTGACCTTAAATCCTTATGTTTCTTTGGGAACAGGAAGGGCTAGGGTTATATTTTATGACTAAATGGTTTATTCTAGGTCCCTCAGAATACCGTCGCAAAGACATCAACCTAACATATGTGAACGCTGGCAGAGACTCATCCAGACAATCACATATTTGATATAAAAATTCATCTTGAAAACTTTACCTTCTATCCATTTCTCATGTGTACCGTGATGTAGATTCAGTAAATAAGGACTGCCTTACCCATGTCTAATTTAGACAGCAGATTCTTCAGGGCAGGGACCACCTCTTCCCTGGTTTGCACAGCACTGCGCACACAGGAGCACTCTATACTGTATCGGATTACAAGAGGTTTCGGGAGCATGGAGGATTAATACTCCCACAGCTCCAGTGGTTGGTGATACTGTTGAAGCTTTAATATGGTACTTCTGAACCAAAACACAAAATAATTTCTTGTTAAATTCTTTAATTTCTATGACACTAGAACAGTCAACTGTGTAAAAGATATTGGAGAAACAGGGCCAACAATAAACACCATTACAATCTGTAAACAAAGTTTCCTATGAATCCAAAAATTGTTACTTCTAAAGTAACATCATACCAATTTAATTTTCACCTTAAAAAGGTAAATACGGAAGATGTGCTTACACTTAAAAATCCCACCATATTACAACAATTCTGCCACTATGCATTGAATATTGTGCTACCAACACAGGAGAAAGCCAAGAGGTGGCTAACTTAAGACACTTAATTCACATACCACAAATCAGACCAAAAATGTATCTTTTTTATCAGACAGGAGCATCTCTGTGCTTTAGCCTCATAAAAAATGAGGCAGATGTTGATGTCACCAAGATCTGCTGTATACACCTGAAGGAGGTACAGACCACCTGACTACATGAGACAAAAAATTGGAAGTGCACTGTCAATATCCATTAATGACTTCTCCATTGCTTCTGTGTAAATGAATTTACCCTTCTGTGACTATACGACCAATGTGTTATATTTACGTTTGAAAGTAGCACTGTATCTGTAAAAAGTTTTGCATATAGAATGTCAGTTTCAGGACTTTTAATGTAGACAGTGTCACAATACAAAAAGTAGATATTAAACCACTGTCAGCAGCTACAGAAAGGTTGGACTTTCTCTGAAGATTAATCCACTATAAGAACCACACTGAACCTAAACTTTTGCCTTTCTTCCAGTATATAGTGTCTTTATTTAAGTACGCTTTTTAACCAATATATATCTGTGACTCTAAGATTCAAAGTACAACCCACTAGACGGAGTGCAATCAGTATGCTGCAGTGTTTGTTTTGGAAGAAAAAGAAATACTAAGACAAGGGGAAAGCACTCCAAGTCTTTCTTCTTTTTCTGCCTACATACTATAACTTGTATTCTTACTATTTGTGAACCTATCTACCGGAGCTTGCCTCCACACAACTCACTAGCCAAACACAATCCATTTTGGGGAATCATATATAAGCATGGTGAATTATTTGACTTTTTCTTAATTTCCTTGGATTATTGACAGAACACATATGCCCTCAAAAAAAAAAAAAAAAACCAGTCCGTTTCTGCTGTGGACTCAATACTGAGAGAAGGATGAAGATCAAAATTAAGGCAGAAAGCATCCAGAGCTTGAGCAGAAATTTTTGCTTTTTGATCTTTATGCAGACAATTTCATCTGGGGATCTGATCAAAAAATTCTTACTGAGGCAACTACCTTAAAGTCACTGTTACAGAAAGCTGGAATATGTTTTATAAAATTAACTAACCCTATCATATGTCACAATTTACCACACTCCCAGTGGGGATATGGTACAATTATAGTCATATTATCATTTCCAAAGATAAAAAGTTGATAATTTATATTATCATTCTTTACACTTCTAATGCATAAGCCCATACACTCTCAACGGATACAAGGAGTCAATGCTTTTACTAATAAATCTTGTAATGTTTATAACGTGAATCCATTTTTTTAAAAGTAATTTAGGTGTAGTTATCTGTTCTTGGTTGGAACTTTGCTTCAATGGAGAGAAAAATAATTTCTGCTGTCCAAAAACTCAACAATAAATGTAAGCAACAGAAAAAGATGCTTGTAAGTCTCAATGAAAACTAGCAATTTTACTCTCTCAAAAATGGTACAACATACCCAAACCTAATAAGCAGTAGATATACCTCAGAAATTATTGCAACAGTATTCATATTATGCCCAATTTCCATTCAGAAAAGGCCACTTCAGGAAACCATTATTTTTGTGGCTGTTGCTTGGGGTTTCTTGTGAAGCACTCCACTAAGCTCCCATCTCACTCATATTTCATTAAGCGTAGGTCCAGAACTCATACATTACTCAGGAAGAGAACAGATAAGAGATACTTGACATCAGAAGAGACTAACTTGTTTCAGAATCTTACTGGATATAAGCCCATTATCATGGTTTGATTGAGTGGAAGGGCTCAGACCTCAAGTGGACATATTTCAGTTTTACATAAATATGAAAGAAGAAACATTAAACTTACCAAAAAATGTTTTAGTAACCTTGCCTGATCTGTCTACAGAACACACATATACATGCAATGGTCCTCCTTAGAGTCTTTATACTTCCTCTTTTCAAGTCAAGTGTTAGTGCAGCAGTGTTGGACAACAGGCAAAAGTATAAATATTTTAATATTGACCTGTGATTGTCACATACTACTTGCAGGACTTCTGATTCTATAGCAATGCTAAAGAAAATACCGAATTTCTCCTCATCAGTGCCATTCTGGGTCTAAGGGCTCAGAGCAGCTAAATCATGTTACATTGCAGAAAGCTTCATACTCACAAGAAAGACTGAACTGTAGGTTTTGCTGACAACTGACTGCATCATTTCTGTAAGCTTAGTATTCAACATATATTGTATACTACACACGCTATATAGTACTATATATGTAGATATAGTCCTATATAGTATATAAGAGAAACTAAAGACTTAAAGAGATTAGTGAAAAATAATGGCTTGCACCGAGCTATAAACATTCCTCTGTGTGTGTGTGTACGCATATACGAGAGAAACTAAAGACTGAAGAGGTTAGTGAAAAACAGAGATTAGTGAAAGAGAGTGGCTTGCACCACTGAGCTACAATATACTGCACTATTATGACCAGGACTTAACTCAGAAAACCCTTAAGGAAACTGTGCAACTGCAGATAACTAGACAAAGTCTATGCTACTTGTGTTGATACGTGTGTGCACACACAGAGTTCACAGAAGTTTATGTGCGTATATTTTGAAGGGCGACTGACCTCTATAGCATAACACTTACTGTAAGTTATAGTACTGTAAGAATTATAACAATAAGAGGCCAGCAGAGCTTTCTACAAAGCATACTGGGCTCAGATTTAACAGCAAAGTATGTTAGAATTTATCTTGTGTTCATTAGACTTGATAAGACACCTTACGATTACCACTGAAGAAAATTACCTTCTCTCATTTAAAACTAAGAATAAAAAGCCTACAATGCTGAGTCTGTAAGAGTGCTTCATGATGCCAAACATTACATACAGCCTAGTGAATCCTGTATGAAAGTAACAGTGATCTCTCCGAATTACTTCAATTTTTTAATGAATTCTTAGTAGAAAAGAAGTGTGCCTTGCTGTTAAAGACACCTAAACATTCCTAATTAGAGTTATATTGGGCTTCAAATGTACCCTTTATTTCCAAGTCTCAGAGTTGTTCACCAGCATTATATTTATATCACAGAGGAGGTATTGTACAGTTAACATGGTAGTAGGGCATCATATCTAGAAACATGAGGCTCTGTCCAAAGAGGAATTAGTTATTTTTCTCGGCTTCCAGTCTTCAGGGCACCTCCTGCATAAACTGATGGGGAGTATACAAAATCAAATCAGAAATGGTAGAATCTGAAGTAGCTTGGTTTCTCAGAAATACACAGTGTGAAACATGAGAGAAGATTGGACCCAAAATTAACAAGTGAAATTAATACAAAGATATTTTGATGAAGATGACAGGAATGTCATGAGGTTGAAGTTTTCAGCTCTATTGATTGAAGATGATTGCTTCTCACAGTGTTTTCTGATGCCCATTTGCAGAAGGCTTTGTTGTCTCAGAGTCTCTTGCATTGTTCGACAGATGAAGTTTATCTAAACCTGCATAGGTAAGGTATTACACATAAGGTAAAATGCAATTTTCTGCTTTTCACATATATAGATATTTACAATGGAAAACTGCTAAAAGCACATTGTATTCAAACCAAATTGTGTTTGGATTTATTTTCCATATTTGCTTAAGGCCAAAATCAACCTTTTTCTCTGAGGCCCCTCTCGACATGCTCTAAAAACTCCAGGGCCTATTGGGAAGGAGGAGGGCAGGCCGGGGCAGGGGCCTTGCACATAGGCGTAGTGTGACTTCTATTTCGGGGGGGACAGGGGCCAGCAATCCAGGGAGGGAGTGCCACCTCCAGCCCCTGACTCAACTCAGCAGGCTACTCGCCTGTCTGGGTTGGGGGAGGGGGCCGATGCAACCAAAAATTATAACTTAAAGGTGGGGGGCTTAGCTCAAAAAGTTTGAAAACATCTTAGGGCGCAGGAAGGGGGTAGCTCAGGATGCAGGGAGGAGGCAGTTATCAGCTGTGGGCAGGAAGGAGCAGCTCAGTAGCTAGGGACTGTGTGTTGGCAGGGCGTAGTTCAGAGTGCAGGGAGGTGGTAGCTAGAGGCTGTGTGTTGGCGGGGCATGGCTGTGGGTGCAGGGAGGGGGTAGCTGGGGCTGTATGCAGGCAGGGGGTAGCTCAGAGCGCAGGCAGGACATAGCTCAGGATGCAGGGAGGGGGGGTAGCTAGGGGCTGTACGCCGGCAGGGGGTAGCTCAGGGTGCCGGCAGGGGGGTAGCTGGGCCTGTGTGCTCAGAGGGCTCCCCTGCAGTTCCTTTTCCCGGAGGGGTCTGCCAGCCACGGAGCCAGGTCTCCCCACCAAGGTGGCTCTTACCGGATGTCTCTGCAAGAGCAAAGGGGGCTGGGACTCAGGAGCTAAGAAGCAGCTTTATTTTGGGGGTACCAGCAGGAGAGGAGAGAACTCTGTGGCTGCCTGCTCCATGGCACCAGCCAGAGCACAGCTGCCCCGCACTGCCCGGTGTAATGGCAAAAACAGCAGCCGGCACCAACACCTACTGAGCCTGCTCAGTTTGGGTGAGCAGGCTCAGTACAACCTAGATAGGAAATTCTGCCAGGGAGCTGTTTGCCACTACATCGGCTCTGGCTTCCTGCCTCCGACCTGGCCAGGGGGCAGGGACAGGAGGGGGAGAGGTGGTATAGATTTGCCCCCCGGGCTCTTGCGCTGCAATTGAGGGGGGGGACGGGTGGCAATGCCCTCCATGTCCACAACTCTGCACTTGGGCTTAGGGCTTCTGCCTCACAGGGAGCACCAGGGCTCCCCGTTTCAGCCCCGCAGGGTGTGCAAGGGATCGTGGCTTCAGCCCTGTTCCTCCTAGGAGTCCCGGCTTCAGCACTGCGGGGGTGCTGGGGATTGGGGCTTCAGCCCCGTGCCTCCCAGCTTGAGTTCTGCGGTGGCCGCCGAAAATCGGGATCTGGGTTTCAGCCACGGGGCCCCCTTGAAAGGGCTTGCCAACCCCCGGTTGAGAACCATTGCTCTAGTTCAAACAGGAATTACTTCAGGGAAGTCCTCAGGCCTGTGTCACACAGCAAGTCAGACTACATGATCACAACCTTCTGGTTTTATAATCTATGAACATTTTCAAAAACAGGAGCCTACAATTAAGCTCTTAAATCTGCACTTTAAACAATTAAAGATGGGTTTTCAAAAGTATTTCAGTGCACAAGTTCCATGGGTACTTTTAAAAATACTACCCTTAGTGGTCTAAATATGGACTTTGGAACCTAAAGTTCAGGTCTTTTTTTAAAAATTGAATTCTAAGGGCACAAAATGAATATCCCATCTTAGAACTTCCCCACTCTTGGATCCTCATTCCCTACCCAAAGTCACAACTATTCCCCTAACAATCAAAAGCAATGACATATAAAATAGGATACTCAAGGCACTGAACAAGGTGAACTCAAAGATCCTCTTTTCATGACAAGTCCCTATCTAATGAATAGGGAGATCAAACCAAACAGATAAACAAGAAATTAACAGCAGTGTATCACGTCTATCAAGAACAACTAAGACGAAGCTTTCTTGAATACATATTCCTAGCACAAGATCTACTGATGAATCATAGAAAGATAGGACTGAAAGGATCTTGAGAAGTCATCAATTCCAGTCCCCGTTGCTGTGGCAGGACCAAGTAAGCCTAGACCATCCCAGACAGGCGTTTGTCCAACCTGTTTTTAAAAACCTCTAATGATGGGGATTCTACAATCTTCCTTGAAAGCCTATTGCAGAGCTTAACTACCTCTATAGTTACAAAGTTTTCCTAATATGTAACCTATATTGCCCTTGCTGCAGATTAAGACCATTACTTTTTGTCCTGCTTTCAGCAGACATGGAGAACAATTGCGCACCACTGTCCTGATAACAGCCCTTAACATATCTGAAGACTTATCAAATTCCCCTCTCAAGTCATCTTTTCTCAAGGCTAAACACATAGGCGCCAACTCTATGGGTACTCAGGGGCTGGAGAAAAATTAGCGCAATTAGTCCGCAATTCATACTAATGGAAGTCTGTATAATACATCAGATTGTCACAGATTACCTACATGTGTGTGCACACAAACAAAAAACATGTACAAACCAACTAGTGAAGTGTTAAGATTTTATATTGAAGCAATTACACAATCATAAAATGTGACAGGTAAGACTGAACCAAAAAAAACTTCTTTCCATCCCTTTGTAATGCATACATATAACAATACCGGCAATGTGTTCACAGATTCTTTCTAGATTACAACACGAAAAAATATGAGCACAAAGGAAGATTACTGACTAAGAATCCATGGTTCTTCGAACACATTGACAGGATAGATCCACACTCTAAGGAGCACTTATATTTTCTTGCTATAGTCACAACTCTCTGGGAAGAAGTGACCACTGGAGTCTCAGGCACTCACCTTCACAGCACTGAGTGTTCAGACCCAAGATTATAAGAAACAGCAGTCTAAATCTCACTACTGGATCTTTCAACTTAATCAAATTCCATTCAAGAGCCTGAAGAAGTTGGTACAGTTGGTGAGGAGTGTGTACCTAGACAAAAGCGGCAAAGAGACCGGTGGCACCTTATAGACTAACAGACATATTGGAGCATGAGCTTTCGTGGGTGAATACCCACTTTGTCGGATGCATGTAGTGGAAATTTCCAGAGGCAGGTATAAATATGCAAGCAAGAATCAGGCTAGGGATAACGAGTTAGTTCAATCAGGGAGGATGAGGCCCTCTTCTAGCAGTTGAGGTGTGAACACCAAGGGAGGAGAAACTGCTTTTGTAGTTGGCGAGCCATTCACCGTATCTAGGCAGTCAACCTACATAACGCAAGCTCTCTCCCTTGAATATTTACAGCACAATGCCCCACACTTGTGAGGTTAAGTAGCAGCAAAATCTGTTAAAGGAGGTGGCTCTCATGAGAGCTAGTTAAATAAAGATAGCAGAACTGTTCTTCTGAACTGATCACAAGTCATGGAAACCAAGTCAAGAGAATTAACATACTGTAATCTGAATTCTGGGCAGTTGTCCTACATATCGCAATGAGAGAAACATTTGAAAAAACATACTGCAGAAATGGTCTTGGATCTGTAGAATGTGTTTTAAGACTTTTAGATACTTGCAAATTCTTAGCAAGCACGCATACACAATTTGATCCATTTAGACCAGCTGAGTAGAAATTGTATCCCCATTAGGCTTGTCTTCAATAGATTTATGTAAAGGTTTAATTCTCTGTATATAGTAGCTAAAAACTACTAAGCTATGCAGTCTAACATTTCTTGATAGTAAGCAAAGCTTAGGAAAGAACATTACTGGGAAGTTAAAAAACTGTTTTAGGTAAAAGTCAGAAGTCAACTTTAGTTAGGAATGCAGGTTGTCGGCACAGCACTATCATATTCTTTTGGGAAGAGCCTAGGATTCATAGCCCTCCATCAGCCAGAATACAAAGGGATAGAGTATGGGGTCAATACAACTGCATCTTTTATGACCATAGGGCTGAATGTTCCTTTCTGTGAGGCAGCATGTGAATACCACCCAACTACTTTTGAGATGGATCTGACTTGGGATTGTGCACACCAGGAACTCCACAGACTGGTTCCATCCTGGCAATACTCTGAAAACTGAAGATATCATAATATACAGGAATGCAGAATTAAGGTTGTGTGCTCAATCTTAGCTTGCACATTTCCTCAGAAGATTAGTTAACTCTGTAAACTTAACTCTGTTAACTTGTAGAATTTCCAATTGTTTTATTTCTTTATGTTAATGACTGATTCCTAGGATTCAGACCTTTTTATCTTTATGATAAACTGTTTAAACAAACAAAAAGTACTGCTAAAGTCATTGATAAATAACTTATGATTTTTCTTTTTCTTTGTTAATGTTAGGATTACTTTTCTGAAATTATAAATAAAAGATGAAAATATTACTGATACAGAATTCAATTCCCTTCTGGGAGAGACCAAGCCTGGAACGTTTCAGCCTAAAACGTGATTTTTTTTAATAAGTTATGAGTGAATGAAGAAAGATATTACAACAAACTTTTCTGCAGCCGTAACTATACTGGGTGTGACTGAGCACTTGCTCTAAAATACATGCATTCACAAACACCCTGAAGGTACAGCAGTAATGAAGATAATTCAAACGTTAGCCAGAAGGTATAGTGTGGTGCAGGGATAGGGGAGAAATGTTTATGTGAGAAAAACAACTCTTTTGCAATGACAAATAGGTTCTATTACAACTCAGACTGTCTACATGCACATCCATTTGGTTAGCTTACGAGCAAGAATTAGCTGAAATACGTTTGTAGGGACTTGGCAAACTTTATGATGAAAAGGGGCAACAAAAAAAAGATGTAGATGTTAAAATAAAGGGCAAATGCCTTTACCATATTACCTAATGCTTTGAAGAGCTCTTCCCGCACAGCAGAGGTGAACTTTCTGACCAGACATAGAGTTGTCACGATAGCAAAGAGCAAATTGTACGATAACACAATGTAGAAATTTCCCAGCCAGTTAAACCTTCCAAAGTCTCCAAGCAGATCAAATCTGGTAATTCCTGTTAAAGTTACATTTTTGAACATTTAAAAAGAGATAAGATTTAAAAATATTCTTGAAAATATAGGTTTCAGAGTAGCAGCCGTGTTAGTCTGTATTCGCAAAAAGAAAAGGAGTAATTGTGGCACCTTAAATTTGTTAGTCTCTAAGGTGCCACAAGTACTCCTTTTCTTTTTATGAAAATATAGGAGATTGACATATCTAACTCTAGTACTTGGTGCTGTATTAAAGAAAAATACACTAAAAATCCCTATGATTGATAAATGGATGTACAGTCAAAGATGCAAAACCAACCATTTTTGAAGGTCATGTGGGTCTCGTTTTACTACCATAGAGTTGCTAGCCATACTATAACTATAACAAAATACCTTAGGTGACTCGGATAAAACGTGTGTCTTGAAATAACAATGTTATAAATTCAAGATGAAGAAGTCCTTCCCCAATTTCAATAAATATAATTTTGAAAATTAACTATCTTAAATCAATCATCATAAAAGCCATTTTGTTTTATGGAAGCCTGGCGTCAGGCTTCCATAAAATTCTTACTTATATCAAAAAATGACGGAAAGAATTTGTGTGCCTTTCACAAAAGACAACACTAATTAAGATTTAGCTGCTTTACACACACACACACACACACGCCTCGTTTAGTTCTGAAACTTGCTGCTTTTTCCATGACATGAGAATGTTTAGCATTACTTATTCAAAAAAGTATATGCAATGTAAGAAACAGCAGAATAGCACATCACTAGAAAAGCATAGTTTTGTCTGCATTAACTGTAAATTACATTATTTTTCTGTATACTGATTTTTTATTACACTGCTTTTTTCAGATATCTGTTTGCAGCAGTAAGTGCCCTGTCAAGAGAGGCACAAAACCACATGGTACAGTAAACATTAGGGCTGCATACATGCTTTGCAGATCCACTGTTTTGGAATCAAGTATTAAGACTTCCTCTCCTAGTACAATTCCTCTCCTAGTGCCAGTGCTGCAGTCAGATAGGAGTCACACGGGAGGAGGAAATGAGTGAAGCTCACAATCCTGACGGCTCCCAGGTAGACCTCAGGCTCCAACTCACATTGCCAGGGTAGCAAACTCTAGGGGCTACCAAGCTCCGAGTGCATACTGAAGAAGCAGAAAAGGAAACAGGAAGCTTTCCAAATCCATGTTGTGTCAGGTCTAACACAAGTCAGTTCCAAGAAGGCAGTCTGTGCCAAAGAAGACCACATCAAGACAGACTGCAAAGGTGTAGGGTGTTGAGGCAAAGCCCAAAACAATCTCCCCCTTGGACTCACTCCAAGGAGTCCTCCTGTGTTGATTTATTCTCAGAACTCAGTCTTACCTCTGAATAAGGTGAAGGGAAAGAGTATTCACTGGCCTCAACATCAAAATGTGGAAGACACAACCTCCAGACACCAAGCTTCCCTTGAAAACTCAACCAACCCTCAGATCTGAGATTCTTGGGAACAGGTTTTGAACAACAACTCAATTCCAAAAAGGTTACAGACTTGGAAAGACTGCTGTTCAGGCTTGGGTATACTAACCTGCAGTGCTTTGTCCAGTGATAAGTGATGACACTTCAACTCCATCTCTTTCTAAGGTCAAGGGGAAAGAGCTGCACAAGCCATGCATCTCATTGTACAGAGATCCTGGCCCAGAGCTGCACAAACCATGTGCCTCATTGTACAGTGACCCTGGCCCAGAGACTCTAGGATGGTCCATGACACATCATGGCATTAAAAAACATGCACCACTTGAAACCTCTGCATCAGCCATCTTATCTAGCCAGAAAAGGAGCAGCTAACGACTGGGATCAGCTTGAGTATTTAAGGAGAACACAAAGGGTACAAGATTATAGAGCAAAAAGGTGGGGACTAAGGAAAGAGCCCTAAGGGATAATGGAGAAAGGATTGAAGTTGCCCAGGACAATGAAAAGGAAAGGGCAAAGAGATAGGTGAACAAAGAATACAGATTCATAAGCACACAAGGAGAAGGAATTGACTGACAGTCAAAATCAGCAAGCAGATCAAGAAAGATAAATACAGAGAAGATGCTTTTAGACTTGACCATGAAGTTGAGATTGACCTTAAACGCAGTTTCAATGGAATGGAGAGGGTGGAAGTCAGACTGCAGGGCATACAAGAGGGTTTGAAAGAGAAACTCAAGGCAGGAAACAAGGCTCACTCCAGAAACCTGAAGTAAGAGGTGGGAAAAGGAAATGGTGCATTAGTTGGATATTTAAGTGGGGTCAAAGCAGGGGTTTTTTGCAAAATACAAGAGTGACTCTTGAAGAGGAAGGGATTGCGAGGACAGTTGGTCTTCAAAAGAAAAGGCATCACTGGAAGACAAATCAGAGGGACAGAGTGCCATGTCTCAATGACAGCAGGTACATAAAAGTGATTATAACCTATATTTCTTGACAATCTTCAATACATATATATTTTAATATGCTTATCTGGAAAATCAGCCTTTATGCAAGTTGATTTTTTTTATTGCCTTATCTATTTAAAAAAGCATGTATACAGCCCTTTCAGGGGGAAAAACATCCAATGAAACTACACTATAAGAGTCTATTGTAGTACCATAAGTATAAACATAAAAAGTATTAGTAACAAAATATTCTGTGGACATTTTAAAATTCAGAATGTATGTTTAAAACTTAAGAATTCTAAAAATACAGCATTAAGTAAACACACAACTTCAGTTTTAATTTCAAATCAATACTTATGATAAAATCCTAGAGAAAAAGAATGCTGGAAAACAGTAATTTTATGACATAAAACTCAATTTTGTTTGTAGCTCTAAATTCCTATCTTAACTACTCTGCTCCCTAGTTCATTTCACAATGGTAAATGATATGGTGCGGACAATCAAGCACTTGCCAATCAGGAGCAGTAAAAGAAAGGCTGAAAAGGCCTGAAAAACTAGGTTTTTCATTTTTACTTTTTGTTAAAAATCCCCCCAAATCCTTGAATATGGCAGTAAAGAGTTGACAATGTTAGTTAGAATGCTAAAATACATGTAACAATTCTCTATACTTCATCTTAAATTCAAAGACTGGATTAAAAAAAGTTAAAACGTGAAATACTTGATAACTTTCCCCAGTTTGCCTTTCCCATAATGCTGAAATCCTACTTTTTCTTTATAGTCTAGAAACTTGCTTTTTTAATACTGTGAAAAGACTATGAATCTGTTTAACATATTTATTTCTTTTCATCTATTCAGTGCCACTAGGCGTAACATGTAATGCAATGCATGTTGATATTTTGCAAAGCACCACATGACTCACTGTACTCTAATACACTCTATTAATCCTGTTTGGACAGCTGTGTCTGTGCATTTGTTAGCTGTGTTTTAATTGTTCCATTTTCTTATTTATCTCTATGGCAAACTATCCAGGAATTTCATTTGTTAAGTTGTTTTTTTTTTTAAGTGAGTTTTGCCATTAATTTGTTTTCTATGTAACAGTTGCACCCTGCATGTACACTTTCCTCAATACAATTATCTTGTATTAATACCAACTGTTAATCTTAATTACAGTGCATAACCAATGATTTTGACAAACAAAAATGGTAAATGCCATAAAAATTAGTAGCACAATACAAATGCCATAATTCTATTTTTAAACATTGCTATTTGAACACTGTGTGTTGGTCTAGATGTTAAAAAGTGGTTTCATTTCTCAGATCATTATCATATTTGCTCTTGATTTTAAGATTCGAAATCTTTAATTATTAGATTTATTATTTTGATTTTTTGTGAAATTTAGAATGTCAATATATAAATGTACATTTTTGTGATATTAAACATGGATTTTTTTATTTTATTTTATTTTGAAAGGTGAGAGCTTTGGGTTAAAATACCATTCTTCAAACAATTTATTGTTTCACACACAGAGTCCTGGAATGTCACTGAATATTAATGGGACCCAGTGCAGAAACAGACTTGTGAGTGCCTGTTTGGACCCTTTAAAATGGGATTCTTCATAAGAAGACTGTATACAATATGCCATGTAGTTATTAGATTAGTTTATTGGGAAATCTCAATTGTTTTTAATGTAATGGCACTTTAGTTAAGTAGTTGTTGTTTGTTTTTGCAACTAAAAGCTTGCGTACACTGCCCTGCAGTTCGGACTACAGTGATGGGAACTGCAGCGCACACTAGCATGCTGCACTATACCTCCCCCATGTGGACGCTGTGGGCACAAACTAAAAGGTACCTCATTCACATTGACCGAGTCCTAAAGGGGAGTTACAGCACAGCCCACTAGCATGTGCCACCCTTCACACCCCATAGTCTGAACTGTGGGGCCATGGAGATGGAGTCTAAATGGAACAGAAGTTAGATGTTTTCAAATCTGACTGTCTGAAGTTAAACTCCTATACTCATATTTAAACACCAAAAGTGTAAGTGGCCTGATTTTTGGAAGCAGCCAACACTTACAAATCTCAGTGAAGTTCACAGAAGGTGCAAGTGCTCTGCATCACCGAAAATCAGATGACTTATTTAAACGCTGCCATACGACTTTACAAGCCTATATTTAGGTACTTAGGCCTGAGTCTGAAAGGTTGAACATTTAAATGCATTTCAAATACAAGGGGGCTCTCTCTTTAATCTGTTGCACCAGTTTTCCAGGACAGGTATAGATAACAATTTTAAACAGAAATAAAGGTGTCTTCCCCCCACCAATATTCCAAAGTTTAGCTTTTAACATATGAACCTAGAGGGGCAAGGACGATATGCAGAATTATTTTAACAAAAACAATAGACTGGTTTTCTATTACTATAAAAGAAAGCTAAATACATGAAGTGTGTTTAACACTTCATAAACCTTTATGCTCAAGGTGTTAACTTGCTGCTTCATCCATAGATAGCTTGCTGTGCCATCCACTTACGACATCTATATGAACTCAGATGAAATTCACACTTTTACAGAAGACAAAAACCAATTTTAAGATAGACATGATATAACTGTGCATGCCTTTCAAAAGTTTTCAAATCTATTTTCTTTTTATTGTCTGCAAGTTTACCTTCAAGAACAATAGTATTCTTTAGTTTCTATGAAAAACTAAGCCATCTATGGTATTAATACAAGTAAAGCAAGAAAAAATAGTCTAAGAGGACTAAAGCCCTTTAAAAAGATATTCCTTAAATCCAAATTTTAAATGAAACCATGATCTTCTGATTAACATCTGAAAAAGTAGTGTATTTTCTAGAAAATACTTCGCCTCTTTTAACAAAATGTGTGATCCTGCTATTTATATGTAGGCTTGGGAGGATTACATTTTTACTGGTAAACGTTGGTAAACATAAATTTCACCATACACACTACCAATACAAAGAAAAAGCATTTCTATAAATAATAACAGAAATGTACACAGATTTATTAGGGTTTGATTTAAGAATATTTATTTTGTATATTTTGATGTAATGTGGACAATTTGTGTTTTAACTGTTATAAAACTAACTTTTTGAATCTTAACATCTATTATCATTAAATACTTGTTGTCTGACTCCCTTCAATCTCTTGCAACTGTGAAAATTTAAAATAAATAAAAATTGAAAAAAAAATGTGTATACATTTGATTTCAGCAAAGACTGTCAAAGTAAAACTATGAAGTAATTTAGCTCCTGAGAAACACCATGGAAATTATTTTAATATATATCCAAAGTGTGACTTTTCCTGGGTCATTTCATTTAAATGCCTGCATCAAAACATTATGAAAACATACAACATAGTAAAAATACTTTGCTGTTATGATACTGAAATATTTGTATTAAACTTACCCAGTGTTCTTGACATCACTGGCAAAGCAGAGCTGAGCACTAAGATTGACACACAGTTTCCAATTATCTGTTTTGAACAAGAACACCCCCATCAAAATAGGTTTTTTGCTGAAAGAAATAGGGCAGCTGAGCTCTGACAAAAAACAGTTTCTAAAAGCTACATCCTGTGAATTAGACTTGAAAATATAAGATTTTAGATTATGTAAAGTTAATTTGTTCTTGCTTCTGCTAGACATCTCCAGTAAGTGTCATTCACAAAATTTTTACTTCCAACGACAATAGACAAGGTCAGATATTTATTAAAACCAGCAGAGAAGCAAATAAGCAAACATGTAATGCTACATTTTAATCTTTAAACATGCTCACCAAAGGCTTTCATCAAAAATGGTGACTGCATCATTTAAAGCAACTATTATTCATGTAAAAATTTAGGCCCCAATCCTGCAAATACTTTATGTGCTTACTGTTATGCACATGAATCATTCCATTGACTTTGTGATGACTTGTGTCTAAAGTTAAGCATGTTTTAACTGCTTGCAGGATTAGAGCCTAATTATAAAAAGGATAGAAAACAAAATTCAGAGTAACAGCCGTGTTAGTCTGTATTCGCAAAAAGAAAAGGAGTACTTGTGACACCTTAGAGACTAACCAATTTATCTGAGCATAAGCTTTCGTGAGCTACAGCTCACTTCATCGGATGCATACCAAATAAACTGGTTAGTCTCTAAGATGCCACAAGTACTCCTTTTCTTTTTTAGAAAACAAAATGTTTCCTTTCCGCTGAGTTTTGTTGGTAAATTGAAACAAACAGTACAAAGAAACAATCTAACAGCACAGCAATATTAGATTTGTGTGCAGTTTTACTGAAACTGAACTTATGTTTCTGTTTCCTGAAAACAGTTTGTTCAGCTCTGGTTCTATAACAATTAACAAGTAAATAAAATATCTGTTAAAGATACAAAAGTTCCTACCTTGCTATTTACTTATATTTTTGTTTTTTATCTAAACTATTCTTAATATACTATAAATGAAAACTGAGCAGACATTATGAACATTTCAACACACACACTTATTTATTAGAGATGTTCTTATGCCTTCACATATTTTCCCACTTCCAAGAATTCTTGGCAAGATTAAAGCAATACGCTATATTTGAGAAGAAATTTCTTATACACTGAATATTTAATTAAATCCAAACCCTGCCTCCTGCTTATTGATCCCCTTCCCCTTGTCAGCTTGTGGGAATATTTTGTCAGAAACCTATGCATGTGTCTCAGCATTAGGTAACAGCATTTGTTATTCTGAAACCAATGCCAAACTGTGGAAAGTCAAACTAGATTCAGACTGCAAAATGTTGCTGAATAGAACTCCTCAGTCTTACTTTAATTACTCAAATTTGAATTACTTTGTATTACTTGTAGCAACCAAGTTCTTCAGATTTCAAACAAGCTCCCTGAAGTACAGTTAGCACAATCAAAGTTACTCATTAGCAATACGTTTCCTTTTGGGGGGGGGGGGGGGAGTCCTTTCACTAGCTTTTCTATAGCTAGTTAACAAGCTCTGCTATTCCAAGCTTTTTACAAATGAATGGATGCCATCCAAACTAAACAGAGCACATCCTTTTTCCCACTCATTCAGCATTTTGAAAATCTTCCAGTTTGTGTTTACGCAGCTTACAAACAAATACTGATCACTGCAAATGAGCCATTCAGGGCAATTACTAACGAAAAGAGCCAGTTTGTCTTGGGTGGAAAAAAAAAAAAAAAGTAAGAAAGAAAAAGGGGGTTAGGGGACATCACTACCTCAGACTTTACCTTACCTTTGTCATAGTTGTGTCATCCTTCCTGGGAGTGAAATTTCCAAAAAAGCGAAGGCTATAGAAGCCGACGACAGAGGATACCATAAGATAGCTGTGAGAATCAAGGAAAAAAGAACCTCCAAGGAATGCAAATTTCACTCAAGTTCTCAGCAGTCTCCTAAAAGTCTTAAGAACCAAAGAAAAAACAAAAACACTTCGAGTGCTTGAGAAGGACTGACCTGTCCCTTTCTTCTTTCTAGGCAAATGTCTTAGTAAATTACCAATGTCCCAGAAAACTAGACAGAATACTTGTTAACAGACAGAATTCTTACTTAAAGAAAGGATACAAAATCAAAATGATTTCAAGTGCTGCTCCCACAAAACCAAAAGTGGATAGGGAGGCATTTCCTATTCCAGGCTCCTACAAGGAGAAAAATACTTTGCATATTTTAATGAGATACAAGTATTAAGTGTTCAAAAAGTTAACTTTTGTCCCTACCAAAACTATAAACTCCTTAGATGAAAGGTGCTATTATAGATGAAAAGTATCACTGTAAAATAAAATATTTTACTGGTACAACTCTAAATTCAGGGTCATCTCAATTTATTTAGGCTCATATGCTTTGGGATTACATTAGCTAGAATTCAAATTTAAGTACACCATTTTAATAAGATGGGAAAACAATTAGATTTCCAGCATTATGATTTACATATGTAACACATCTATACCCCATATTATATTTTATGGATATCCCCACTCCCTAAAGCCAGGCTCTTTTTACTGTATGTAATGTTAACAACAGAACATCAGCTTCTACTAAATGACTTTATATAGCTGCGCAACTACAAGACCTGACTGTATGCATACAGGAAAAAAAAGCATTAACCACCAGCAAAAAAACAAAAACAAAAAAAAGTCACAATTAATGCTAACAATGAGCTCTCTGTTATTTTCTTGAGATAAAAGTATTTTTAAAAATGTAAAATGTGTGTTTCATGTGCAAAAAAGATATGAAAACAGAAGGAAAATGGGCAGGGTTGTTGTACAGGTTTTTAATAAATTATTTTCCTATTAAAATCTATTACTATTGTACCATTTAAAAATACAAAACACCAAAAAAAAAGATACGAGCCTCAGGTTTCTGATGACACTCCATTTACCCGTGTTTTTCTTCCCTATTAGTGGGCTTGATTCTGCTAAGAGGTCAATGAGATTACTCATTTTAATAAGGTTATACATGTGTTTAAGTGTTTGGAGGACTGAACCCAGAGTATTCATCTCACGTGTGAAATACAGAGTTATTAAAGCCATCAACATGCAGTCTCTCACTAGAATTTTTAGAAGAAAGTCTTCTGAACATATCCCTGAAGTTTTCAAAATAATAAAGGAAAGGAAGTTTACTTTACCCCTGATCCCTTTGGCATTGCAGTCTCATCAATCAACAGGCAAAGAATGTTGCAGGCAACTAAGAGGACTGAGATGGACTATAAAGAAGAAGTAGAGACATTCTGTCAATTCTGAAGGTTCACATTTAAACAATGTTTAAGGTTACGTAATCTGGTGAAGATAAAACATGGATATATTTGTGAAGAAAATTTGAGGAGGGAAACAAACAGATTTCATATGGTTTAACATATACATTACTAAAAATTATTAAAATTAGCCTCCAGGTAACTGAGAAGCCTCTACATACTGGAAAAAGATAGTGAAATTCTTACTGTCTCAATGAGCAGCAGTATCATAACAGCTGGATACACTAAATTCCTCTCCCACGCAGAAGCTTTTTTCCGCCGCTCTTTTCATAGGGGAAAAAGGAAACTTAGTACCATAATCTGAGTAGTCTTAAAATTGTCATTTTTATAGATTCATGTTCTAATTGTAGGTAACCTTCTAAAACAACTGTAGCCAAAAGGGGTAGGTACCAATCAGTTGACAGAATATTTACATCAGAGCATAACACAGAGCAGTACAGAACCAGGATGTCAAAACCATCAAGAAGCCCCATTAAAGGAAGCCGATGGAGCTCCTGTAGGTCACGTTTTATTTTGATCTATGTCTAATGCTTACAGTTACACATCAACGTAAGCTGTCAAATTGTACTGGTGTTTCTCTAGTATGGTTTGCAAATTTTTATGTTGTACTGCACACCTCGTCACATACTTGAAACTTACATTATTCCCTCACGCCCTTTTGGATAGGTCTATGCTCCAGCAGGGTTCTGTAAGGGTAGTGTTACAGTAAATGCCAGGATATTACAAGGAGCATAAGCTGTGTATGTAGATCTTCATAGGACCCAAAAAGAAAAAGGTATTACAGTAAGGCCCTACTTGAATCGCGGGATGATCTTCAAATAATTGCAGCTGACAAAACATGGAAAATCGCAGAAAAGTAATAATGGACCTTTATTAACAGCGGTATTTTGGAAAAGCCAGAGTAGACCTACTTGTTTATATCGTTCCAGCAAATTTTTCTTAAACACTCCAATATTATGTTATGCCTGCTAATTTATTTGATAACCAGACATTTTGCTGTAACAATATTACATTCATTTAGAAAAAAAAAAGTGGCCGGTACAATATAAAATTCAGAAGATTTAAAGTCTTAAACTGCTGTGGAAATCGAGTCCAGTCACCTAGCCTTTTACGTTTTACAGGGATTGAATGTTAGTGCAGCACTAATCACATATTCAAAATGTATGCAAAATTGTGGACTGTGCAAATCAGCTAATTAAAATCAAAGTTGCAGTGGAAGCCTAATATTGCGGGCTCAGCTATTTCCACAGTATAGCGAATGAAGTAGGGCCTCATATTACAGTCATTTATACTGAATGGTCCTCCTACTCTTGCCGTTTTAGGTTAGTCAGCATATAGACCTATGATTAATTTAAAAATTAGATACGGGACATGACCATTTAGTCTAAAAATTAACATTTACTTACCACTCAGGTATCTAGGATACTGCAGTATTTCCCTACACTTAAAATAGTAATAACTGCATTCTTGGATGCTATACGGTAAATTGGAAAATGTCAATTTTAAGAAGCAAACATTGCATATGAAAGGGTGACACCCCTGACAAGTAAAGAAATGAAACAGCAGCAGTATGTTTTAAAAATGAAGAGTTTTATTATTTTTGTAAAAAGTCTCAGTTAAATCACTCGTTTTTAAAAAATCGAGGGGAAAGTCGTGTCTCACTTGTCCCAAATGATCAAAAGCATGCAAATGATATATTAGATGCTATGGTGTTTGAACTGCGTCTCTGTTTTAGGAGTGATATTTTAATATATCTTTCTACAGAAATATAAAAAACAAAACCAAGAATTCCCATTGTCCATTTTCCAATTTATTTTGTTAAACATCTTTGCTAATGAAGTGCCATGATGATGTGCTGTCTTTTCTATCTGTAGAAACTCAAAGGAGTATACTTACAAACAGAGGCTTAGGATCACAACTGATTTCAGTCAACTGCAAATAATTTTGGTGTGCACACATTAACAAATTTAATCTAATACCCTAAAGAAGGCTTCTTATTAAACTGCCAACTACAGGAAGCTATACAAAATAAACTCTATATTACCTAATTTTGTTTTCATGCTCTTCATATTTTCAAGTTCCTGTCTCAGCTCCACTGTATTGTACTCCATAGTAGAAGACACACCTGTTCAAAGGCAAAGACATGAGAATTTTATTTTTTCAGACTACTAATATTCCCACAAGAGAAACTATTAAAACATTGTTTATATTTCATTTATAAGCAGTCATCTTACAATAGCAATACTCATCCTTTGGTTCTAGAATTGCAAGTGGCTCTTTGGGAGATTGAAAATAGTTTCCATAAAACATAGGTTTGATTGGAAGTCCTCTTGTTTTGTTGAGCAAGAGGTGTCTTCCACACCAGAGGCACCACAGAGCAATCTGCTGGGAACCCTTCCTATATCCCTAAGCAGCCATAGAGGGAATGAGAGAGAAAAGTAGATGGTGTTTAATGTGTTGCAGAAAGCCAAAAATTATGGTACACTGGCCTGATGGATGGCAAGACTGCATCGTGCTGTTGTCTCAATACGGTGTGACATACCATTATTCAAACACTGCAATACAATCTCTGGTGGCCCTTCAATATATTCAGTGACTCTCTACAACTACGTTTGAAGATGAAATGGATCTCTGCCTGTAAGACTGACCATAGTTATTTTAAAGAGTAACCATTTCAAAAGGAGAGAACGATCTCCTTGTCTTTGTGTTCAAGGAACATGGGCAACAGAGAACAACAATAATGATTTTATGAACCATCAGCAAACAGCAGCTTCACATACAGCCTCTTACAAAACTGAACTGTGCCTTCAGTGGAGTTCCTTATATTTGCATAAGGAAGACATTAAGTATCATGCTAGTCTTTTCTTTGCAACGCCTTTTTATCCTCAATATTTTTAACCAAATGTGTTAAAAGTTAAAAAAACAACAAGAAGGTACTAACAAGTCCTGTTGTGACCATTTATAGTTGATTCCCTTCTAAAATATTCTGTATAAAAAGAAATAGTTTATATAATTTTAGCCATCTGCCTTCCTTTGCTCAAGTTCATGCCCACTTGTTGGCTCTGTGTGTTTGACAGCATAAATGGGGCCTTATGTTAGAGCTATTTATGCAGGATATCATGACTTGTCTATGGATTGTTTCTTGTATTTGTATTCCTTGATCGCTTTTTATGAAAAGTTTCAGAGTAACAGCCATGTTAGTCTGTATTCGCAAAAAGAAAAGGAGTACTTGTGGCACCTTAGCGACTAACCAATTTATTTGAGCATAAGCTCAAATAAATTGGTTAGTCTCTACGGTGCCACAAGTACTCCTTTTCTTTTTATGAAAAGTAGCCCTTCCAAAAAAAAAAAAAAAGTGGTAGTTCTGTCATTCATCTCTCTCTGTTTTAATACTGTACTTGTCACCACGGTATTTCAACCTTTATACCTTGAACATTAAATTAGCAATTAGAGCAAGTTTGGATATTTCAATTCCCGTAAGTCAAAAACATACTGAAATCATTCTATCCTTGATGGCGAACTGAAACAAGGACAGTCTGGAGAAATCAGGAGATACGGTTCCTTGTGTGTCTAAGGGCTGGTGGGGAGCGGGCGGGGAGTAAGCTACCACTAGACTCATTCCCCCCATCCACTATGTGGCTCATCCCATGATACTGTCCCTTCTGGAAGGTGGAGTAGGAAGCAGACCATTATACTCCCAAAGACCTCTATGCACAAAAACCTGGTTACACATGACACACCATATATATGGCTTTTGCTATAGTAAGTATCTTGTCTACTCCATCCAGAATTTGGTATGTCTTTATGAGTCACTCCTCATTCCTTTTGAAAAGGAGAATGTTTCCTATCTAACACTACTAAAGAGTCCCAATAGAAATCATGATTCTCTGTGTGGTATCCTACAGAAACAAAGGCGTGACTCAAGCTGCTTAAAGTGACACTGGACTGAAGTTGTGGTGGCACAGGTGGTCTGCATTGAGTACTTTGCTGAAGCACCCTTAACGGCAATCAGAACTATACACAACTTTCCAAACAGAAAAGGAGGACTTGTGGCACCTGAGAGACGAACAAATTTATTTGAGCATAAGCTTTCGTGAGCTACAGCTCACTTCTTCGGATGCATTCAGTGGAAAATACAGAGGAGAGATTTATATACATAGAGAACATGAAACAATGGGTGTTACCATACACACTGTAACCAGAGTGATCACTTAAGATGAGCTATTACCAGCAGGAGAGCGGGGGGCGGCGGGGGGGAAACCTTTTGTAGTGATAATCAAGGTGGGCCATTTCCAGCAGTTGACAAGAAAGTCTGAGGAACAGTGGGGAGTGGGAGGGGAGGGGAGGGGATAAACATGGGGAAATAGTTTTACTTTGTGTAATGACCCATCCACTTCCAGTCTCTGTTCAAGCTTAAGTTAATTGTATCCAGTTTGCAAATTAATTCCAATTCAGCAGTCTCTCGTTGGAGTCTGTTTTTGAAGTTTTTTTGTTGAAGTATTGCCACTTTTAGGTCTTCTCCATGGATCCAGATGATGAACTAGTGATGGCTAATGGCGTTCTGTTATTTTCTTTGTTGGGCCTGTCCTGTAGCTATGGGTACCCACATGGCCCCACAGTGTGGCAACATTTTTATGGCTGACTTAGAACAACGCTTCCTCAGCTCTCGTCCCCTAATGCCCCTACTCTACTTGCGCTACACTGATGACATCTTCATCATCTGGACCCATGGAAAAGAAGCCCTTGAGGAATTCCACCATGATTTCAACAATTTCCATCCCACCATCAACCTCAGCCTGGACCAGTCCACACAAGAGATCCACTTCCTGGACACGACAGTGCTAATAAGCGATGGTCACATAAACACCACCCTATACCGGAAACCTACTGACCGCTATTCCTACCTACATGCCTCCAGCTTTCACCCTGACCACACCACATGATCCATTGTCTACAGCCAAGCTCTACAATACAACCGCATTTGCTCCAACCCCTCAGACAGAGACAAACATCTGCAAGATCTCTATCAAGCGTTCTTACAACTATAATACCCACCTGCGGAAGTGAAGAAACAGATTGACAGAGCCAGAAGAGTTCCCAGAAGTCACCTACTACAGGACAGGCCCAACAAAGAAAATAACAGAACGCCACTAGCCGTCACCTTCAGCCCCCAACTAAAACCTCTCCAACACATCTTCAAGGATCTACAACCTATCCTGAAGGATGACCCATCACTCTCACAGATCTTGGGAGACAGGCCAGTCCTTGCTTACAGACAGCCCCCAACCTGAAGCAAATACCTACAAGCAACTATACCCTGCACAACAGAACCACTAACCCAGGAACCTATCCTTGCAACAAAGCCTGTTGCCAACTGTGTCTACATATCTATTTAGGGGACACCATCATAGGGCCTGATCACATCAGCCACAATATCAGAGGCTCGTTCACCTGCACATCTACCAATGTGATATATGCCATCATGTGCCAGCAATGCCCCTCTGCCATGTACGTTGGTCAAACTGAACAATCTCTAGTAAAAGACTAAATGGACACAAATCAGACGTCAAGAATTATAACATTCAAAAACCAGTTGGAGAACACTTCAATCTCTCTGGTCACTCGATTACAGACCTAAAAGTGGCAATACTTCAACAAAAAAACTTCAAAAACAGACTCCAACGAGAGACTGCTGAATTGGAATTAATTTGCAAACTGGATACAATTAACTTAGGCTTGAATAGAGACTGGGAGTGGATGGGTCATTACACAAAGTAAAACTATTTCCCCATGTTTATTTCCCCCTCTCCACTGTTCCTCAGACTTTCTTGTCAACTGCTGGAAATGGCCCACCTTGATTATCACTACAAAAGGTTTCCCCCCGCCGCCCCCCGCTCTCCTGCTGGTAATAGCTCATCTTAAGTGATCACTCTGGTTACAGTGTGTATGGTAACACCCATTGTTTCATGTTCTCTATGTATAAAAATCTCCCCACTGTATTTTCCACTGAATGCATCCGATGAAGTGAGCTGTAGCTCATGAAAGCCTATGCTCAAATAAATTTGTTAGTCTCTAAGGTGCCACAAGTACTCCTTTTCTTTTTGCGAATACAGACTAACACGGCTGCTGCTCTGAAACATTCCAAATGCAACCTCACTAGTTTTATACATACTATTCAGGTTCTTATACCATGAGCACTGTGGTATCTCATGCCTTGTGAGGACACAATTTCAAAACACACTGACATTTTTTATTACAGAATATTGATATGGCTTAATTTCAATATGGTTAAACATTTATCTAAATATGTGTTTCAACCAGTAACTTTCTGCTGGAACAAGTTTATCTTCTGTTTTAAATTAACATGCTTAAGTTTTGTATCTACTGCTAGATACAAATTTAAAAACCTTTTCTTCCTTAGCAAGAAGCCCAATTCTATCCTTGCATATGCATAAACTCCCACTGACATGACTGAGAGTTACACGAGTGTATCTGGAAGTCACACTGAACCCATAAAAAGCCTAGTGATAGGGGCTGAACAATAAATAAGACCTGTAAAAGGTATTTAGTACAAATCTGTCTTCTCTTTATTCTAGATTTCCTGAATTATGTGGATCATAAGAATCTAATTTCTCATGTTTCCAATCCACTTTCTAAAAATAAATCTAAGTTTTTAAATTTATAATGGCCTTTAGTTTCATAAGGTTTTATTTTGCTGTATGCTCTTGAAGTGGAGAGATAGCAGGGGGAGAGATAGCTCAGTGGTTTGAGAATTGGCCTGCTAAACCCAGGGTTGTGAGTTCAATCCTTGAGGGAGCTATTTAGGGATCTGGGGCAAAAATTGGGGATTGGTCCTGCTTTGAGCAGGGGATTGGACTAGATGACCTCCTGAGGTCCCTTCCAACCCTGATATTCTAGGATTCTAAGTGTTAGTTTGAGAGGTCTAAAACGTTGTCTAATTCTCTTGTAAGGTACCAGACTTACAGAATAACTTCTATTCAGTTAACAAGTACTTTTAGTGTGAAATCCTGGCTCCAATGAAGTCAACAGCAAAATTCTGACTTTAAGGCTGAAATTCAGGCCCCATTAATTTTTTGTACAAAAGTTAAAATTACCACTTGATAC